CGGTGGCCTCAACCTCTCCCGGGCAATCGGTGAGTGAGGCAGGGGGCGACGCTGGCGTGGGGGCCTTGACGCTGTGCTCGGCACATCTGTGCTGGCTTTGCCTGCCAGCCCCTGAGTTTAAGGATCAGTTTTTAACTGGGTGATGGTTAGAACCCGTTTAATATCTGATGTGGTGAGATTTCCATCCAATTAGAGAAGATGGCCGAGGAACTGGCACACATCAGTGGAAAGCAGTGCCCAGCTCCTACCAGGTCTGGCGTAGGGCAGAGGGTGCAGAGCTTCCAAGGCTGGTGTGCCAGCAGCTGGGCTGCCAGAAACACCTCTTATAGACTGTCCCAAAACCAGGCTGCTGGCCTTTGAATGGGATTTCTCCCCATTAGCAGGCTATCCTTGGTGTGTTGCTTCCTTTGGACCCAACTTTATACCTGTTTGAGCGCATCCGTTCCTGAGCCAGCCCTGCCTTGTAACTGCACGGACTCCAGCTCGTCCCTCACCGCAGGGCTGCAGGCGGGACCTGGCTGCTCTCTGTGCTCATCCCTGGGTCTCTTATGGGCAGTGCAGGAGTAATTAATGGCGCAGGAGTCCAGGGATGTCTGTTAGGAGCCAAAAAAGATCTTTGCCCAGTGGATGGCCACAGTCTGAACAGAGGAGATGCCTGGAGGCATTAAAGAGGGGCGGGAATAAGACTGTGAGTGTGCTGGGAAGTGTAGAGGGAGGGGGAGGAAATGAGGGCAGCTGAGTCTGTGAGTGGAGAGAATTCGTGCAGATTGTTTCACCACTGAGATTATTATCCTAGGGCTAAGAGAGAAAAATGCATTCAGAATGGAAACCAGGAGTTTGTTTCTCCAGGGAGATGCTGGCATTTCCACCTACTATTTTATGGTGGCCCCAGAAGTCCCTTTCTAGGCTGTAGCTCAGATAAGCCTGCTGCTGGTCAGAGCTGAGGATTGCTTTTTTCAAGTGAGCTCTGGCTGCTGAGGCTTTGGGAAGACGTGAGCCCAGCCGCGTGCTGAGGGCATCACACTGAAATACCTAGACCTGGACAGCCTGAGCTTCTGGAGAACGAACTCCT